GCCGCGAATTGATTGAAGCCTGGGCCTTGGATGAGAACTCAGTCAATCGATTTACCGATCTGGCACCGATATACATCGCGCTGCGCAGGCATCTCCGGAATGATGGCATTGTTGCTTGATTGCTTATGGAACGGATAAAATCCCACCATGCATTCTAAGGCAGATGACATGCTCTAATACTTCTGTCTAGTCTTTTCTCCTTACTCCAGTCAAATGGTATTTATCCAGAAATATGGAAACACTCATGCATTACGCCCTTCTTCAAAAACGGAGACCGTTCGAATACCCAAAGCTATCGCTAGAAAAGACATTACGCCTTGCGCTTTCTCCAAAACTGGCGTGATTTCATGCTGGTAGACATGGTGACCAAGGAAATTTAGAGAAGAGACACTACAAAGGCGCTTGCCGACGTTCAGCTGCAGACACCTTTACTTAAAACTGTCGTAAACCTGTCTTGAGTGCTCAGCGTGTTCCCAGAGGAAGAGCTAGCGACAGGAATATCGTCAGTATATACGAATGTGAAGGGAAAGCCCCGTAAGATGTCGTCCACGAAACACTGAAATGTCCGAGCCGCATTACGCAAACCAAAAGGCATATGAAGAAATTCAAAGAGGCCAAAAGGCGTCGTGACAAGTCTTTGGAATGTCCTCCTCCACGACCGGTATTAGATGCTAAGCTCTGGCGAGGTCGATTTTGGAGAAAATGGTTTTTCCCCACAGCATGTGTAAAAAACGTGATTATGGGATATCGAGTACATGTCAGGGTCCGTGGCTCTGTTCAGAGCGCGGTAGTCACCGCATGCTCTCCAATCATCAGAAGATTTCTTAGATACTGTGTACAGTGGAGAGGCCCATGAACTAGACGAAAGTCGAAGTATCCCCAAATGCTTCATGTGCTCAAATTCGTTCTTCACGATCCGAAACTTATCATGGTGAGTTCAGCGCGGGTGAGCATGGACAGGTCACCCAGTTGGTACAATATGATGCCGGACTGCACGCACATGCGTACGCGAACTTGCCGCGAAACAATTCCGACATTTCTTGGCCGCAAGCCGGTTACTTTCGCTTTACCGTCCCAATCTGACAAACTAGATCATCAAGAAAGCTGTGACCTGGACTACACTTACAAGGTCAACATTTGCCATATTGACGGCTCACGGAATGAGGTGGTTGACGCATTTTCCAGACCCTTAATCACTCCTCTACAGCTCACTCCCGGAATCGACCTCGCTGAGATGGCTGGTGAACCACGTCGTGTTAGTTCACCCTATGACAAGGATGCTTTCGAACTCGAACTCCAGGACTTTCTTCTGCCTACTGAAGACGGCTGCATATTTTGGGAAGTCGCCACCGTCCATTTGTGTCGCCACCTCTTAGCCACGAGGTCTTCTCTTCTTTGACAAACCTACCCCCCTCCTCCGTGGGAGACAACCGCTTTGTCTAGCCTGAAATGCATAAGGGTCTGAAAGCTTGGAAACAGGTGTACCTCGGCTATCAGATGAGCATCGTCTGGCGGCACAACAAAG